ACTTTTGCACACTAACTTCTTGAGCTAATGACCGAATACATACACAATGAATTTCAGCCATATTTAAACAATCACAAATTCATTTTTGTCTTATGAGAAAATGTGAAGGAGTTGGCTGTAGTGATAATGCCTGGAGCATCACCTCTTCTACAAAAAGGGCAATGACAACTTTACAGAAACACATATATTCCCATGTCATAATGCCGTACATTGTGCAATTGTAGGTTGATTTAATGTTGTACTATTTATGGGCCTAGCATGATTCTGCTGTACCAGAATTCTGCTACACAAATTTTTTATTTAATGAACATCTACCAGGTATCAGAGATAATTAGGTAAATCCAAATGAATTGAGGAAATAGAAAAACAAATCTGCAATTAATATGTTTATGTAATAGGAAATGCTTAAAGGGAGATTAATAAAATCAGTCACTAAAAAGCTTTTTTATTTTTTTTTAGAGAAGGAAGGAAAAGAAAAACATTTTTTGGTTTTTTGTTTTGAGATTGGAACAGTTAAGGACCACTCACAGAGTATGGAACTGATATACATTTAAAAATATAGTTTAAATATATTACAAGTGGGCAGAAAACAAACTGATACACATTTAAGAAGTTAATTTAAATCTATCACAAGTGCATAGGAAATAACCTAGTGGACAACATTTAGTATAAAGCATTTCAGAAAAAAGTTTATATGAAGTTTGGTGCTAGTTTTCACTATTCCTTCTTTTGTCAATTATCACAAATGCAAGCAAATTACAGTAGCACATTGTCATTGGGGCTGTTCCGAGCAGTGAGTCTGGAATGACACTTTTGTTTGCTATGTTAAGACAACAAGCCACTCTGCTCTACTTATACCTCTGGCTATTTAGAAGCCAACATTTTGACTGCTTAATAGCCCATTTTTGATTTTTTTGTAAGAGCTGTACTATGGGTGCCGATTAGATTCATTAAAAATCTTCCAGAATCCCACTCTCAATTTATCTGATTCTTCAGATCCTTTTCTTAAAAAAAGTGCATAGCTCCAAGTATTAACAAGTAGATGGTGAGAGATTATATTTTAAACTGACTTTTGTTGTTTCCCAAATAGACCCCTTATTCTCACACAAAGAACTGATGACAGCTGTTACAAACATTTCCTGCTTCCCACATCCCCTAAATTCATTGCCAATATTACTTTAAAGCATCAAGGATGACCACAAAACAGCCTACTCTGATTAATTTCTGTCATGCAACTGCAAGTCCACAATGGTCTTCTATTTCCTTTTAGCACACAGGCTTAGAAGAAAACATATATTAGCATTTACAGTGTGAAAACAAGAGAAATTCATAGCTTAAAGCTTTTAATATTTTAGAATTTAAGGGTGTATGAAATCTAAATTTATATTCAGAGAATGATACTTCAGGAAAACCCCAATCTTTAATGTAGTAGACTGGCATCCTCAGTCACATTATTACTGGAGTTGGAAATAATACTATACTCCAATGTGAAATATGGAGCGTTTAATTGGTGCAATAAAGCCTAAAGAGTTAACTTGTTTTAATCTTTGTTTTTAAAAGTATAAGATGGGTATATTTGACCAATATATTTATACCTATAGTTAATAAAATACACATTATTTTAAGATTTTTGAGTAGAATGTTACAAATGAGGAAAAAATTGGGAACAAAATTTAAATATTTCTCTATAAACATTTGAATATATGCTGACTCCACTGTTCTTGCAAGTAACAAAAGCCAGGAGGTCCAAGGGTTGGGAGTCTGGTTAGAGCAGTGGTAAAGCAACAACTCAGCATGTGTGATGATAAGAGGCCCTGAGGTTCAACCCTCAGCCTGAAAAGGGGAGGAAATAACATAACCTCAAACCCTGAGTCCTTTCCATTCTTTTCTTTTGGCTGGTGGTGAGGCTTAGGCACTGGTTCCTGAGCTTTTATGCTCAAGGCTAGTGCTCTACCACTTTGAGCCACAACTCTACTTCTGATTTTCTGGAGGTTAACTGTAGATAAGAGTCTCATAGACTTTACTGCCTGGGCTGCGATCTTCAGATCTTAGCCTCCTGAGGAGCTAGGATGACAGGCATAAGCCACCACAGCAAAGCTCTCTTAACAATTATTTCCCAAGGTTTTAAAAGGTTTTTAAATAGTATTTTAACTTTTTTTTTAAAATTCAAGCTTTGTGCTTATTAGCTTGGCTGGCACTATACTACTTGAGCCATGGTTCCAACCTAGGGTTTTTTTGTTTGTTTTTGGAGCTGGTACTGGGGCTTGAACTCAGGACATAGGAGCTGTCTCAACTTTTTTGCTCAAGATTAGTGCTCTATCATTTGGGTTACACTCCACTTCTGGCTTTTTGGTGGCTATTTAAAGATAAGAGTCGGACACACTTTCCTCCCAAAGCTGGTTTCCAACTGTAATCCTCAGATCTCAGCCTTCTGAGTAGCTAGGATTACAGGTATAAACCACTGGCACTCAGCATGGCACATTATTACTTAAGCCAGCCTTCTACCTTCAGCTTTTGTTGGTTAATTGGAGATGAGTACCTTAATATATAAATTACGTTTTGTATTTTCCTATAGACACATGCATTATAAATGTATATGAAGAATCTAAAGAAATATTCATCTTTGGAATGAAATAAAAGGTTAATGAGTAATTTATACTTTTACTCACTCTCACAAGGTTTTGCTATGTAACCCAGGTTGGTATCAAACTTAGAATTCTTCTGCTTCAGCCTTCTAAGTGATTCTTATCCTTTTATGTTTTTGTTTCAATTTGAATTTGTATCTGATTTTCTATATATCTGATTTTATATGCATATGAATCTTTAATTTCTCAAAAATGTAAACAGAGAGCATTGGTAAGGAGATTAAAGCTCATTTGTTTACTTTATTTTCTTCTTTGTGTCTCTGTATTTAGAAAAAAACTGGTACATGTCATTATTTTAAGGTAGAAAAGAGGAAAATCCCTCAATCTGCTCTCTCCATTCATATTAACATAACTTCCAGCCAGACAATCTATAACCTGCAATTCTGCAAAACAAAAGAGGTTGTTTCACTTTCTTATAATTCTAGGCTTTCCTTCTCGAAACTGTTCTACATAAGTGGACATATATAATTATTTACTGCACATTTTCAAACTGCAAATTTGATAATACTGCTCCTGCTTAAGCTCCTTTAAGTATTATCTTCTATAAACAAGATACTTATTGTCAGAGTATATAAGATTCTTGAACATCATTTTCTGTCATTCCTTCCACATACTCCTGGTTGTAGTAGATATCTGACTACAGAGCTCAATTCCTTATTCAATGCCTTTCTGAAATAATAGAGCCAAAATTTTCTTAGAAACCATTGTAGCTTAGTTAGAAAGTAAACTGGAAGTATTACTAAGGTGAGTAGACATATTTGTCTATTTACATATAACTAAGGATTTGTATGTTTCCTTTCTGAAAAGTTTCAATTTACCTGGCATTTTATAAGTTATAGCATCCTAAAATTTAAAAATGACATGTCGTATTGGATATAGGTGTAGTAACTTGTTATCACTGTGCAAAAGTAAATAAAGAATGGAGTGGGGGGGGGAAGAATGATGGTCTTTTGTAGTTACTGGTCTTCTAAATTAGCCACTCCCCCACAATCACACCTGATAGTAGATGCTGATAATTTCCCAGGTAAGAATAATGAGTTAAATAGGTAGGAAAGAGAAATAAACATGGCAAGAAGCATCACACTATCATCTGCCTAATAATTATATAAAAGAAAATAAGGGCTCTTGACTCTAATAAATATTTTATTACACTGCATCAGTAAGATAAATCTATGGAGGCATTCATTGGGAAACTTAAAACGATAAACATAGCTTTTATTTTGTAATCTGGACAAAGCCCAAATGATGACATATTTTGAAAATGTCATAATGTTTATCACTGCAAAAGCTTCTGGTCTGAATTATTTAATAGGAACTTAGCTGAATTAAAAATATTCTTGCCATCACTTTTGAATAGCTGATAAGAAGTAATGACTTCATATATCAATCACTTAGTATTCTGTATCATTTCTTTATTATTGAGTTTCCCAATGTTTGAGTAATTCTTTAGAAACCTAGGAGCTTGTTTTCTTCTAGAATGATAAGATAGCCTGAGTCTTATAAAACACTGAACTGAAGCATGAGGAAGAGGAATTCTTGCCTGCCTTCCACGCCCTCAAACTATGGATGATGCTTTCTGATAAAAATACAAATTGTATAGAAATATGCTTCAACTTGTAATCCTTTTTAAAAATGAAAGGTCTTTTTTATTTTTATGTTTTTGGTCATAGGACTTGAACTCAGGGCCTAGGTGCTGTCACTGAGCCCTTTCACTCAAGGATAGCGCTCTACCACTTTAAGCTACAGCTCCACTTCTGAAAGGGCTTTTTATTTATTTATTTATTTTTAAATCTAAACCTCAGTCTACATTTCTTTTCTTTTCTTTTGTTTTGGTTGGTATTGAAGTTGGTATTATGCTTTCTACACAGATGCTCTATCATGTGAGCCACACCTCCAAGCCTTAAAATTCTTTTTTTTTAAACTTCTAATATTTATTTTTTAAATTTTATTTTATTTTCAAGGTGATGTACAGAGGGGTTAGAGTTACATATGTAAGGTAGTAACTACATTTCTTGTCAAACATTGTTACCCTCTCCCTCGTTTTTCTCCCACAGGCCCTAAAATTCTTTCAAACATTTCTAATGTAAGGAAAAAGTTTGATGATAGGCTCTATATGTTTTCTTTTTGATTTTATGTGTGCTTTATATATTATGGGTGCAAAACTAGGAAGTCAATCACTTGAGGAAGATAAATTTCCATCCCATGTCTCAAGAAAATCCATCCATATGATTATGGAAGCACAGAAGAACAACTTAAAAAACAAACAGAAAATTAAATACTGTTAAAGCAGGATTTATTTTATTTCAATATATATTTACTCCAATAAAATAGTTATTATTGTTAAAAAAATCTTACCTGCTACTGAATTTGGCCGTGGCATGAGATACAAAGGAATAGATTGTACAGACTGAGATAGAACTGTTTCCAAATTTCTCTCTGGGATCTTGTTCAGACTATATGTGGAGGCAGTCATGTTTTCATCTACTCGATATAGACAAGAGTCCATGCTAGATTTTTGAGACTGCCAAGGTTTTAGGTTTCCTCCAGATCCTAATTCTTTATTGCTTTCTCCAACATATTTTGTGCGTTCAACATTTTCAGAATAGCTTGTCAGTGTAGCTGAAAGGGAAAAAAGATTAGAGTTTTAAAGAAATCAAAACAGTTTGTTTGTAACTATCATAATTCATGATTAGATGAGAATATTAGAAACATTTTTTAGGTCTTTTAAAAATGATTACTTTTTAAAAAATATCCTAAATAGTTGCACAAAGAGGTGGTAATTCAACATGTTCAGTTACGTGTACAATCCATCCTGGTTAGTATCACCTTCTTCCTCTCATGTTTTCCAATCTTACCCATCTCCTTAAGTGACCTGGCTTCATTTTCACATAAGCAGCATTATATTTTTAGTCACTGATGATCATTTTCACCTCCAGAAACTTAAATAACTGAAACTAAAATAAAAGCACATCGCAAATATATTTAAGAAGTCTATCTAAATGGACTAAGCAAATTTATGTGTTAGTGCTAAGGGACCTACAGAAAGAGTATATCCATGTTGCTATTGTTTCTAATGTATTTATAAAGTACCATTCTGATTTTTTTGTTGCTTTGTATTTCCCTCCCTCATGGTATAACTCCTGTTTTCACTGTATTTGATGTTGGTATAATTTGGGGAGGGAAAGGGAAAAAACGAATTGTTTAAATAGGGATACAAGTTGACCCATTGCAACAATGAGATGCACAAGACGCTACGTTGGAAAACGAACTTTACAATTTAGGTGGGGTTGAGGGGGTTGAGGGGTGGAGTGTAGTTGAGGAAGTGGGAGAGAAGGGATGGTAGGGGAAAAACAAAGGAGGAGGCAACAATGCTTGATAAGAAATGTACTCATTACCTTGCTCATGTAACTGCAACCCTTCTGTACAGTATTTTCACAATAAAAAACTTATCAAAAAGAGTATATCCATGTTAAATGTTTCAGAATTCATCAAAAATGTATTTATATAATTTAGATTATTGGAGATTCTCAGAGAACACTCACATCAAATCTCTATATTATTTTCATCCTTTTCTTTCATCCATTTAAGTTCATCACTTGGTCTCTTATGTGTAACAAAGAATTAGAATAAAATTAAAACTAAGTAGAAGTTAATAATATAGAAAGAACTTGCCCAAATAAATAAGCAATACATGTCCTTCTTGTATAGCCTTTCTCATAGCTCTAATCCTTTATACATCATTTCTAAGTAGCTGCTGAAGAATAATGTCTTTAATTAAAGAACTGAATTGTCTGACAGAATTTTATCCAGTCTTACCAAAACTGTACATGAATAGGAACATTTTCATCAACTCCAGAAATGAAAGCATTAAAATATTAAAATATAGATTATAAAATTTCCAGCAATAATTCTAAAAGAATAATTCTCCATGGAAATGTTTTTATAGGTAGTTCATTTTCTCTTCCTACATTCAAATGTACCTATTGCAAAAGAAAAGATTCACACTCATGAGACAATTTCCACAATACTTTTTAATGAGGTTTTTTTTCTCTGTAACTTTAAATAGAATTCTTGATTTTGTACTAAAAGGAAAGATAGATTACCAAAAAAACCTAAAATTTTCTGTAAGAGAGTAAACCTGTGTTGTCATAAAAATCAAATGGCTATGGAAGAAGAAAGTTAATTAGGAAAGGTGGAAACATGAGAGGAGGAGAAATTATATATAAACACACACACATATTCAATTCTCAGAATTAAGAGAGAGAAGATGGAATGTATTTTTGGGTCCTACTTGAGAAAGAAAATGAGAAATATCATGCGATATCTTTGAAAACACAAAGATTATAGAAGCTAAGTTCCCACATTTACTATACTGTATTTCCTGATTAGCAATTAGGTGTAAAATCCTCAAGAAAAGGACAACTTAGGTTCATTGTGAGAAGACAGCTAAGGAAATGGAACAGATAAAAATGACATTCTGCATTTTGGCTAGTCTTATAACCAAAGACAAATCAAGGCAAGTAGAAACAAAGGATAATGCATATGGTGCCAATTTTGTAAAGGAAAAAAATCAGTTTGAAACTCATAAAATCTCTCAAAAGAATAGTGTGAGCAAATTAGAGACTAAAAAGTAACTGAGAGTCCAATAGCCTGCGGTGTTTTTTTTTTTGATAACTACTAAACACCCAGAAACAGCTCAGATATGTGCTAAGCAATGTTCCTTTTTTTCTGCTATATAATAAGCTTTCATAATATTAACAATCATAGGAAGTTTGTACTTAACTAAGGACTGAAGCAGGACTTCATGCATACTAAGCACATGTTCAACCACTGAGCTATATTTCATGTCCCATTTTATTATTTTAAATTGTGTAAGTATCCATTATCTCTTTTGGTCATTAGTATAATAACTCTAAGCAGGGAGTGTTTTTACTATCTTTATTAAATACCTGGGGAAACATATGCTTGACAAGATTTGGCATCCTGTTCACCTTGTTAAAAGGATAGCAAGAAGCATTTGGGTTAGCTAACAATTTGGGGTCTTAATCTAATGTTGTCACTTAACTCTTTTGTAGATATGCCTTGCCCTCTTCACTGTACATTTTGAGAAGGTAAAATATGTAGTTTCAAGGGTTTTTCAGATTTAAATAATAAAAGAATCCTTTATTATCAGCTCTGTAATACCTTCATGATAAAGAGAGGTTAAACAAGTGATAGCACAAAGTCTAAAACTCTGTTACCATCTGCAAAAATTACAAAGAACTATTGAGCAGTAAAGCACCCTCAGGTGCTACAGTAGTTTTGGAGAATGCTCCAACCAACAAAATGTAAGAGGTAAGAAGTAAATTAGCTCATTCTTCATTGCAATGTTTTCTAGCACTTACATTAAAAATATTTCTACTAAAGATATAAATGTATTTGTTATCTGGGTAATTATTTAAGCAAATAAACTGCCTAACTTCTGCAAAAGAAAAAAATGTCTTAGAGGATGTAATTTAGAGATATATATTAAGCTTTGAAGAGTGGATCCAGAACTGGTGAAATGTTTGTCACTACTCTGCCAAGTACTGGGCATGGTAAAGACTCTGTGTTTGTGTGTGTGTGTATGTATGTATGTATGTGTGTAGGTGTGTGTGTGTATGTGTGTGTGAAAGAGGGGGGAGAGAGGGAGGGAAAGAGGGGAGAGAGAAGAGAAGGGAGAGAGAGAGAGAGAGAAAGAGAGAGAGAGAGAGAGAGAGAGAGCAGTAGTGGAGGAGGAAATCAGTAGAAATGTCCAATCAGGTGTTCTATTTCAGGGTACTGCTAAATAATTAAATAGATGCTGAACAATCAGATTTTGAGAAGGCTGTAGTTTCAACAGTACTCAAAGACTTCAATAAAAGTCCTTGTAATACATTTCCCAACTTCTTGTCATTCCAAATAACAATCTCATATTCACCTAAATTTAGACATCTGTTTTGACTAATTTAGAACATTTGATCAGGTAAATTAGGGAAAATAATATTTTATACAGAGAAGAAATGCATGCAAAGGCAGAGATACAAAAGACAACACTTCTTTGAAAGAAACTAAGCTCAATAAGGCTAAGAAGTAGAATTTGGTGATATAGTTGGGACCAGAAGCATGCTGACAAAAGTTTAACACTGCCTTTCTCAAAACAAAGGCAAAAGCAACAACTGTAAATTCTGATTTATCTGTAGTGTTTGCTGAACCTCTGGTATAAATGTAAACTTGGTGTGTGATTTTAAGCTATGATTTCACAACTAATCAGCTCAGAGAACTAAGAAACTTCAACAAGTAGATTTTTCTGGTAATATTTGGCTGTAGCATACTACTTAGTAAAGACATACAGAATAGACATAGACCAAGTTAAACTGTGACTTGTAGACCGTATTAGTAATTTTACTTTATCCTGTTTATCCTAAGGGCAACTGAGGAACATGATTAAAAGATTTCAGGGTCATAATCAAATTTCCAGCTTAAAAATTACCTTAAAACCAGGTGCCAGTGGCTCTTGCCTGTAATTTTAGCTACTGAGGAAGCTGAGATTTGAGGATCATGGTTTGAAGCCACCATAGGCAGGAAAATCAGGAGACTCTTACCTCCAAGTAATCCCAAAGCCAGAAGTGGATCTGTGGCTCAAGTGGTTGACAATGTTTTGAGCAAAAAAGCTCAGGGTCAGTGTCCTGGCCCCTAGTTCAAGGCACTAGGATGGGAACACACACACACATACACACACACACACACACATACACACACACACTCACTCACTGTGGTTTAAATGAGGAGAATAAGAAAAGTATTGTTATAATCCCCTGCCCCTTTTTAAAAAATATCACAGACCTCTATGACACTGAGGATGCCTAATGAAACTTTAAAAAATTATTAGCTTTATTAGTGTGTGTTAATTGTACAAATGAGTTTCATTGTGCTATTTCCATATATAAACAATGCAAATTTGATTATATTCCATTACTTTATCTCCCCTCACTTCCCCCTTCTTTGTACAATTCTTAAAAGTTTGATTATTCTGTTTTCATACGTGTAGATAATATACTTTGATTATATTCACCCATCCCATCTCACTGATTCCCCTCAAACAGTTCCTTTTTTACTTTCCTATCATTTTGTTTTTAGATTTAGATTTCACTTATGTCAGAAAACATGTGGGAGGATTGGGGGGGGGTGAGGGGGAAGATGGGAAGGGGAAACAAAGGAGGAGGCTACAATGCTTGATAAGAAATGTACTCATTATCTTGCCCATGTAATTGTAACCCCTCTGTACAGTATTTTCACAATTAAGAAAACATGTGATGCCTAGCTTACTGATTCTGGCTTATTTCACTTGTAATGACTCCAGCTGTTTTTTTTTTTTTAAAAAAATTTTAGTGTGTGTGTGTGTGTGCATCTGTGTGTGTGTGTGTGTGTGTGTCTGTGTCTGTGTCTGTGGGTGCATGTGGGTTCTAGTCCTGGGCTTAATCTGGGGTCTCATGTTCTTAGTTGGCTTTTTGACTCAAGGCTAGTGTACTACCACTTGAGTCACACCACTTCCAGTTTTGTTTTGTTTTTTAACTAGTTAATTGGAGACAACAGTCATTCAGATTTGTCTACTAGGGCTG